CTAAAACTGGACCTTCTTCCTAACTCTGTAATGTGATGCTGATTAATAAAGTGTACGAATAAACATACAATTATTGGCGTAAATAGCCTGAGATGCTGAAAGCGCCATTAAAACAAAAACAACAGGAGGAAGATTTTTGAGCAGTATGGGTGTATCTTTCACCTTGACATACATGCCCCTAAAATGCCCAAGTATAAGGACGGTTCTGTTGGTTTCCTGCAAGGCTGAAGATTGTCAATGATTCAGGAGGGTTTCTTGCGAATGTGAAGGGAGTTATGGGGCTCACTGGCCTTAAGCCAACAATAAACCGTTTGATTGACTGATTTTACGAGTGACCGATGAACTGACAAAATGGTTGGTTGGGAAGTCATACCTTGTAATCAGGATGTTGTGTTCTCTCATGAACCGGCACTGAGTGACCACACCCTTGTGACCTTTTAGCCTGTAGAGACCACTCTCGTTAACCACATCCCAAACTATCACATCCGTGTCCTACATAGCAAGAGAGAAAAAAATGAACAAAACAAAAGCAAAACAATAAAAAATAACTTGGACAAACTACAGCTCCGCCCAACAAGGATCAAACCTTAGCCTGAAGTCTGAAATAAACTTTACCCCTTTGGAAAAAAATTCAACTGCATTCAGTTCATGAATTTGACACCTGCAGTACCTGCAGATTTTAGTTTAAAAAAGCATGATTGAAAATGTAATATTGTGGTAACGAACTTGGAAAAATTCTAACTGTTTGGAGTCATTCAGTGCAAGCTTTGTGAAGGCTACATATGTACATGTACATCACTGCCATGTATTTTCTGTACTTAAATGTCTGTGGGAATGAATTACTTCACCAGTTCACAGATCTTGCAGTGACGGAGAACACAAATGCATTAACAGCTTAGAAATGTAGGGCTGAGTTAGATCATTTAATTGATTATTCAAACGTTTGAACCCAAATTCCATCATACGCAACTACAAGTATTGGGGTGGGTGGTAGATTTTTGATCAGCCAAGCCTCCAGAGGAGGAATTTTACTGACACGTAAAATAACACATTCTAATCATTACAATAACTTGGGATGGGTTGGTGACCAGTAGAAGCATGACATTCTGTGTTTGAATTAGGATTTCAGAAGGCAATTTTGGTCACAGAGAAACTGAGCTTTCACTGTGCTGCACCTACACCTGTACGTACATAGACATTTGTACATGTTCAATTACTCAACCTGAGAAATGAACATTAGAAGGCTTGGTAATCAATCAAATACATGTATTTGCATAGATTTGGTACAGGCCTAATAAAATTAGGTCTTTTTATTCTCACTTTGGAGCCTGAAGCCAGTCGGAGGCCCCTTTCGTCAAAGCTCAGTGCTGTGACGGCCGACTTGTGACCGCTGAATGTGACAGTCACCTCACCCGTGATGAGGCTGAAGAGCTTGACCGCGCCGTCTGCGTAGCCAACAGCCAGGCTCTGGCCCTGAGGACTCTGAGCCAACACTGAAACTTCTGATTTGTCTCCATGGAGGACAAGCATCTGTAAGAAAATAAACGTAGTCCCATCATGAAAGACTGCACGCAATATCCCTCCAGTCTAGGGTATATGAAGTCTTCAACCATCTAAATCTTGGAAGATTGGATGTCTTCGAAAATGAATGAAACCATGGCCATTTGTTATGAAGAAAACGCTTTTGACGAAGATGAGTTTGCCTACTGCCCAAACTCTGTCTTCTTCTAATGACCGAAAAATATCCTAAAGACAATGTTGTGAGATCTCAGTGAATCTGTGGCATTAGCTGATTAGTGGGGGTAGATGGGTATTTACTCACCCCTAGTATTTTGCAAAACGTGCCTTTTTCCCACGTAGGCCTACATGCATGTGTCCCTATTACACAAGTATCCTTTACTAACACCATGCACACTTCAGAAATGTTTGTCCCCCAACGGTAGGGCTGAGTCAATTCGAATAATTCACTATTCAAATATTTGACCTTCGATTCGATCGAACATCCAAATATTCGGTCGTACTGACTGGCAGGTTGTTGATGAACAAACCATATATGCAATTAACACACACAATTGTACATTATGATCAATATAATACATGTACATGTAGCTTCTCACATCTTGGAACATCTCCAGCCATGATTGAGCAAGATTTAAGAGATGAATAAGACTTCTTACCCTGTTGAAAATTTCTATTCCTTTTAAATTGTTTCATAAATAATTTACTTTTTAAATCATTGTAAGATTTCTGATGCTTTCATTTGAATCTGCTTGAAACAAGCCTCCATAGTGCAATTTTTCTCAAAAAAATTTTCTCTTCCTTTTCAGGAATTTTGCATTTGAATATCAAAATTTGAAAAATACTATTTGAATATTCAACAATCGATTACATATTCGGTTATACCAAATGGCTTTTCAATTTTACTATTAAGTAAGGTTAGGTGATGGGCGAAAACAATCTTGAGTGCCCTTTACCCCCCATAAATGACATTATAATGCCACTTGATCTTGTCAAATATTTAAAGTGTATTGCTATGTGCTTCACACTCCAAACTTGCCTTTTCAGCTCTGCGTAAATCCCAAACGAAGACATGCTCACAGGCTGCGGCGGCTGCATACTTCCCCTGGGTTCCGCGGAGTTCCACAAACAACACGTTAGCCTTGTGGGTGCCCACGATGCCAAACATGGCACTGGAGGCATAGCGGAGGTACTGCTTGGTCAGCCCCATTCTGCAACAGCAAAATATGGCAAGCTATGATAAAAATTCCATTTCTCCTAAATGGTCCATCCGCATTTAAATGCTTTGAAGAAATTGGGAAGAAAAAATAAGCCTTTTGCAATTAACTTTGACTCAAATCTGGTACACTGAGTTCTTTAAATTCACGTGAACACAACTTGAATTCTCCTTACTAAAACCACTGTTGCTATACCTTGTGATTCAGGGCAAGTTTTTGCTTAGTTACACAAGAGACGTCTTGCAACAATACACTGTTCTCAATGGATAAGAAGGGTACAAAGGAACCAGTCCCTTCCAGAGATTGTGGTTGTTATGCAAAAGCTTGCCCCAAATCATCAGTGTTTAGTCTGGGGAATTCAAATCGTTATGTTTATGTGCACTCAGATAACTCAGTGCACCAGATTTTATTTTGCAAATGGCTTATTGGGACCTTCGTGCACTTAGTCACCTGTACAGATCAGTAACTTTTACCAGTTCCCAATTTCACGAGGCTACGGTCCAACACTAACTTAACCCCAACCTTCCCCAACCACACAGAATTACACAGCAGTAAAGTGTTTAATTCTGTGGGGATAGGTCTGGTAGGCCCAGACAGCTGGGTTTAGCATTGGGTTTGGCATACCTCAGAAAACAAAGTCCAACAGCCTCTGTGCACATAGTCCCATATAGGTGTTTAACTTTGTGTGAATGGGGAAGGTTAGGGCCAGCAAACTTTGGGGGGTTATGGTCAAAACAATGATATTAGGTTGTAATATTTCTAATGATACTGAATGCCACAGTAGCCTACTGGATAATTATTGCACTTACATGTACATGTAACAACAAATTACAGACCAACAAGGTTATACGTGTAGGTTGACCTCTACAGGTTTATACATGTAAAGACCAACCTACATGTAAGTGCAGAGTGTGATTGTGAGTTTAGGAACAGGTCTTTTCGTTGCACATCTTTCTTTTTGAATGCTTTTCTTCTGCAGGATATTTCTCAATATTTTTTTTGTCACTGTACTTTTTTGTCTCTGAGTTTGCGTTTTTTACCATGGAGAAATAAGATGACAGAGCAGTTTAAATGTTGCAGAACTTAATACAACCCACAGTTAGGCAACACATGTAGGCCTACATGCCCATACTGTATATCTTGCAAGCATCAACAAACTTTACGATAAAAATTGCAAAAAACATTCTTTTAAGATTTAGACACAAATTAGTGTCATGTTATCTTTTATTACACTCTCGACGTTGGTGAATAAAAAGTCTTTAAAAACTGTAATTCTACAATTTTAATCTTGAGCTTTCAAAACAACTGACAACGGCAAGCAACAAAACCAGAAGAAAGATGAGACAAAAATCGGATCTAAATGGTCCAGACATCACTCTTTCAAACAAATTTATCTGCATGAAGTCAATCTGAAAATCCCGCTGGCCCTTGGTTTTCATGGATTGCCCCAAACTTGCATTTCAGAGGCCTGTACCAGTTTTACTTAGGTCTAGCATGTCTAGGGGTTTACCTTTCTTACGTAACGTTATTTGCGTTGTGGTTCGGTGACCGAATACATGTTGTACACATAAAACTGATACATGTACATGTATCACTGCATTCTGCTGCTGATTTTGGTCTCCCCTTCGGCGACCTCTGTTAGTTCTTCTTGGACATATTGGTCGTGCATGTTGGAATCAGCATGCCGGCCCTAGACTAACGTTAGTCAGTCGGTAGTCCTGATGCTGATGGTTACAGGTTAGTGAAGACATGATCATACTTGTCATAACAACATGAACAATCTGATTTAGGCCTATTTAATAATAATGACTCGGCTTAGCCCTAGGTTTCCTCTCAAAAAATAAAAAGTAAATTTTAAAAAAGGTTTTCAGCCTAGACTACCTATTTCTAATAAAATCACATAGAAATCGAAAAACAAAGCCACATTTTCTAACCAAACAATAATTAACCACTGACCATGCTGACTTACAATGGTTTTGTACACGTTCAGACGTTGGGCCGGGCTTACTAAGTTTCTCCTCAAAGTCTTCAATATTTCCAGCACGTGTCATGAAGGATTTACATGTTGCATTTACGTAGTGTAACGACATTCCTTGTTCACAAAAACTACGCTACCTTGCGTATCCACTGTGTTCTCTTTACAAGGCAGAACGATCACACGATCACGTACACAGAAACTGGTACCCAAAGTGGTTCTACCATTAGGACAATACGGCAAAAGTCTGGAAACTAGTTCGGCACGTGGCGGTGAAGGTCAAAGATCATTTATACATGTATTTACCAAAAATACCGCTCAACGGTCGGTTGATGGATTAGCAGTAATTCCTACCTCCATGCTAAGAAAAGTTCGCTTGCTTGTTCTTCAGCCAAATTTTTGGTTTTGAAAAGTAACCAGAAATGGCCAGGCACACGATGACGTTTATTGCCACAGTACTGGGACTGTTCTTTATCTATAGTGGCTTTTCAAAACTGAATCCGATGGTAAACGCTGACCTGCATTTGAACATGGTGAGTCGCGGCCTGTCATCATGGTCATGCTGCTTGTAATTGTGGCATGTGCACTGCACCCTATAATTTACAATTTAGTAACACAACCGACATTGCAGTCACACAGAAGTTAATGATGCTTACATTTATATCATGATCATCGTGATTGTGGATGTTGTCTGATACGATCTGTACGTTTTAATTGTTTTAATTCTGTGCATTTTCATGATCAGATTGATCGCATCCTACTTCCTAACATACTTAGGCCTATGATGATGTACATGCAGGCGCTAGGCCTATTTCACTTGAAGTTGTACTTAGTTCTTCTAGTCGTGCTAGTAAAAACATGGACATGTACAGTCCAACACAGATAAGAAGAGCACTGTTAATACAAGATCACATTTCTAACAAGGACAAGTTTTAGGTCCCAAGTCTTTGTTTTTCTTTGTTTTCTATTACCATGATTACTGATCATACAAGGTAACTTTTAAAGCTTTATAGTAACATAATTTGAAAAATCCCAAGGACCTTTTAAAAGCTTGTTATAACAGGGTTCCAGTATTAAGCCTGTTTACTGATCACCAAACCTGCCGAACTATTGTTTGTAATTGTATATTGCAGTACTGTAGTCTGTGGTAACATACATGCAATATTCAGACTTTTTTCTGAGTACATGCGTTTTCTTTAATTGTAAATTGAAAGGAGCAATTGTGCCCTGGGCTCTACTTATTTTGGACAGACGGGAAAGGATTATATATACATGTATTCCCAACTTTAAATAAAGGGAAAAGAATTTATCAAGATGCCAGAGGCTTCATTGATCAATTTTATACTTTTGATTTTCCTCTCTCAGAAGAAGCATTTTGTTAATTATGCCCGCGTGGCGCCACTCCGTACATACTTTGACAAGCGGTTGAAGGCCTCAGACTATCGGCAGTTTGTTGGTGGGATGGAAATTGCTGGAGGGGCGGGCATGGTGGTGTTGTCAGGGCGATTCTCCGTGCCAGCATCCCAACTTATTGTCCTCCTGTCGGCTGCCTTCATGATCCACACCCACATCATCCTCGGAGATCCCATGGCTAGGGCAGCGACAATGATCGCTACATCCCTGATGGTCGTTGTCCAGATGCTTTTCACCCTCTTCTCAGGCAAGAGCAAGATGGTGCAGGATGAAAGAAAGAGAAGTTCAGAGGCCAAGAAAGACAAAGAAACCAAGAAACAGACTGCTAAGAAAACGAAGACCAAGGCTAACTGATTCAGCGAGGCTGTCCACGATGATCGAATTACAGGTATATGCACCTATCATTCACAAAAACTGGGGCTGGTGTTTTCAGACAAATGCTGCTGAACCAAACCAGATTACAATGTTCAGGGCACTGTGGCTAGTGCAAGGAAAGTGTAAGCATCAATTATCTGCTACTCCCAGGTTTTGTGGAAATGGGGCCCTGTTCTTGAAGATCTTAATGCTGCAGAAAATCCCGTTAGTCTGTGAAGCAACTATAGCATCAGTCCCAACTGTAGTTGGCATTCCCAGTAAAAGTGCTGCAGTTGGGCTGGCCCAGTTACAGTCATCAAATTTCTACAGCAAATTTCTCAGTCTCCAGGTTTTTGGAGCTCTCAGCTGACAGAGTTCATTGAAAATATGTCAACCAGGAATTTCATCTGTGACATAAGCAAAAGCCAGGTTCTGCTGGCATGAGTGGCCAACATGAGGATGGCACATCTTATTGCGCAAACTGGCACACTACGTACAGTACATGTATATCATAGTTTTGCCAACCCAACTGCAGCACCATAGTAGTGATCATCATCCGGACTATGGTTGGGATCATCATCCGGACTATAGTTGGGATCATCATCACAACTATA